TGTAGCCTAAATTCTTCGCAATAATGAACCACAAGCGACTCCAATAAATTCCTTATATGATAATTGCTTAAATTCCAAATTTTTATTCATTAGATAAGCATGACTATTTTTTATTTCCTATGGATGTTAGATAGATTTATCAGTGAGTTTTTTCAGCAGATTTACATCAGATTTGAAATTCTTATACTTACTTGGGCCATATTGTGTTTGGATTCGCATAAGAATGTTTTGTTTGATATAATAGAATTCCGTCATATTCCATTTTCGGTTGTCCAATTTCATCATGCATTGTTCATTTAGAAAGATTTTAACGTTTCGCTAAGGACATACATATTTTTGCGACCAATAACGTTTCTTTCTCGATTGCTGAATCTTCGACTTTCGTCACACCCTTTTTTATTTTTGTAAGGTATGAAATACTTATTTGATAATGTTTTTCAGGTTTGATATGTTTCAAAGATATAATCGACATTGGAAATTCATTATTATCCTCTACATGTTACAATCCTCTTGCGTGTACTCTCTGTAAAACGTCAACAAAGACGTCCATCGTTATGCATTGTATTTCCTTGGAATTTCCCAACGATTCTCCTTCATCAGACGAAGTTCGCAACCTGGTAAGTTATTAATATGAGAGAAATAAAATGATGGCATAATAAAATTAGTAAGTACAAAACGGATGAGCGTCACGTTTTTATCACGACGTAAATGATAACCTTTTAATCTTGATCGGCTATCAGATATGGCATTATGCTCAGAACTGAGAAGCTTGCAACCAGAGGTGTTATTAGCCAGAAGGATGCCATATACTAAACGTTTACCTTGCAATGAATGAGGTAATTTAACATTTTCCAAATATAGCACTTGTGATATTTATGCTACAGTTACAGGTTAGACAAAAAAAAGGCACAGTTAAATTAATACAAATAACATACCAAAGTCATATTGTAACGAATCTAACATGCAAGAAGCTTTTTAATTACGTCACTTTCCATTATCATTAAGGATAATAAAGGCTTGCTTCGTCTTATTTTCTTTATGACGCTTATTAATGATGATTGAGCATAAAATACTTATTTCTTATTTTACTGAAATTATGCCTGAGGAATATAAATTGTTTATTTTAGAAGGAGAGTATTGTCTCTTTTTATATGATTATAATATATTCAAAAAAGAAAAGATAACGAATGAAAATTTAGAAAAAGATCTATTATATACAGTATATTTATAAAGTGATAAAATTTCGCTGCATCATACAATAGTCTAAAATCAAGGGGTGAACAAGACCATATAGCACCACAATTATATCTATTCATTTTATATTCAATGCTGAATTAGGCATTCTGCAAGGATTCACTACCCCTCCCCCTACAAGGGACGGGAGTATCGGGGAGTGCAAATTAGTCGGAGTGAATGAGTCAGGGATAACGAGAACGAGGGGAAATTCGATTGCGAGTGACTCTGTAATGTCCATCCAAAAAAAAATTATAATGTTTAACAGATAACATGACTTTACAATTCTTCTTTTGCAGCTTGAATCTTTTTAATATACATTATGATTAGCTTTATCAGAGAAAATGTTGTAAGGAAAAAAAAAAAATAATTTTTTATTTATTTATTTATTTTTTTTTTTTTGTTTTTGTAAAACGTTCACCGGTTCTTTTATGCGATTCCTTATTTTCTTTTTTTTTAATAATATGCAACGTTAGATTTAACATCAAAAAATCAAGACAATGTGAAAATTATTATCATTGCATTGATATTACATCATTTTGTATTTAAATTTCTAAGTTCTTAAGAGCTCGTGAATTTTCACATGTTTTTACTTAAGCAATCAATCACGCAATCTTATATGTTTAAAGGAAAAAAAAATTTTTATTTTCAGGAGCCTTAGTGCTATAATGTTCTATTTGCGTTTATAAAGTCACAATTATATAGCTATCGTTTGTTTTTTTTCATCACAGTCTTGATTATTTTGAAAAATATTTTGAAAGAACTTTTTATATATTTAGGCTTCGTTTCAAGGAAAAAAAAAAAAGACTTACTTTGTTGTTGTTTTTTACCTCCTATGCGACAATATTTATAAGTTCATAACATTTTCTGATTTGTATGTATACTAAAAGATCTTCGTTTTACGTGATTTATAATGATTTTACTTTTTACACGTCTTAACTGTTAAATTTACGATTTTTTTTTTTTTTGATCTCACACCTATAGTAGTTTATAAAGCTGGAAGTGGATGCG